TAAACTTAAAGAAAACAACTTAAACTCCACCTCTTCTCTTTTCAGCCCATCATCCTACATCCAAGTATAGGACACTCAAAAAGTCTCTCATAATCAAAACTTGCATATCTTAGCAGCTATTCCACAGTATAACTGCCTTGTGCATGGGCGGATTATGAGACATCGGGCCCCTGGGTACAGATATGCAAAGAGCCCCATTACCTCTCCTACACAGGAGGAAGACACACAGACTTTGTGGTGGTTATGCATCTCTTAATAGTCATGATGCATCGTTTTGTCTTCTTTTTGTCTTTTTGTAGTTATTTGGGTCTCTCTGATGTCATTTTGTGTCTCTTTTAACTAATTTTGTGTCTTTTTTGGTCATTTTGTAGTCACTTGGTGTCTCCTTGTGGCTGTTTTTCCTGTTTTTGTTGTTATTTTGTGTCTCTTTGCAGTTCCTTTGCATCTCTTTGTGGTCTTTTTCTGTCTCTTTGAGGTAATTTTGTGTCTTTTTAGTTGTTTTGTTTTGCTTTGTAGACACTTCTTGTCTCCTTGTGGCTGTTTTGCCGGTTTTTGTTGTTATTTTGTGTTTCTTTTCAGTTCCTTTCATCTCTTTGTGGTCATTTTGTGTCACTTGGTGTCTCCTTGTGGCTGTTTTGCCCGTTTTTGTTGTTATTTTGTGTCTCTTTTCAGTTCCTTTCATCTCTTTGTGGTCATTTTGTGTCTCTTTGAGCTAATTTTTTGTTGGGTTTTTTTGGTTGTTTTGTGTCGTTTTGAAGTCACTTGGTGTCTCTTTGTGGCTGTTTTGCCAAATATTGTTGTTATTTTTAGTCTCTTTGCAGTTTCTTTGCATCTCTTTGTGGTTATTCTGTGTCTCTGAGCAAATTTTGTGTCTTTTTTTGGTTGCTTTGTGTTTCTTTATAGTCACTTCTTGTCTCCTTGTGGCTGTTTTGCCCATTTTTGTTGTTATTTTGTGTCTCTTTGCAGTTCCTTTGCATTTTTTTGTGATCATTTTGTGTCTCTTTCAGTTAATTTTGTCTTTTTTGGTCGTTTTGTGTTGCTCTGTAGTGACTTGGTGTCTTGTTTTGGCTGTTTTGCCTGTTTTTGTTGTAATTTTGTGTCTCTTTGAACTAATTTTGTGTCTTTGCTGGTGGTTTTGTGTCACTTAGTGTCCCTTTTTGGCTATTTTGCCTGTTTTTGTTGATTTGTGTCTTTGCAGTCACTTTGCATCTTTTTGTGGTCATTTTATGTCTCTTTGAGCTCATTTTGTGTCTTTTTTTGGTCATTTTGTGTCACTTGGTGTCTCCTTGTGGCTGTTTTTCCCATTTTTGTTGTTAATTTGTATCTCTTTGCAGGTCCTTTGCATCTTTTTGTGGTCATTTTGTATCTCTTTGAGTTAATTTTGTGTCTTTTTTGGTCGTTTTGTGTTACTTGGTGTCTCCTTGTGGCTGTTTTGCCCATTTTTGTTGTTATTTTGTGTCTTCGTTTGCATCTCTTTGTGGTCTTTTTGTGTCTCTTTGAGCTTATTGTGTGTCTTTTTTGGTTGTTTTGTTCTGCTTTGTAGTCACTTGGTGTCTCCTTGTGACTATTTTGCCCATTTTCGTTGTTAATTTGTGTCTCTTCATAGTTCCCTTGCATTTTTTGTGGTCATTTTGTGTGTCTTTGAGCTAATTTTGTGTCTTTTTTGGTCATTTTGTGCCGCTTTATAGTGACTTGGTGTCTCCTTGTGGCTGTTTTGTCCATTTTTGTTGTTAATTTGTGTCTCTTTGCAGTTCCTCTGCATCTCTTTGTGGTCTTTTTGTGTGTCTTTATGGTAATTTAAGTCTCTTCCTGGTCGGTATGTGTTAATTTGGGTGACATTTCAAACACTTTGGGCCTCTGGGCCTGTGCCTGATAGGCCCATTCAGTAATTCATCCATGGCCTTTTGTAAAGCTGTGTTGACAAAAGTGTCACTGGTGCGACCTGATTAATAACATTTTACAATCGTCTCTTTGGCTTCTGAAGGTGGCTACTGAACTTATTATAGTACATATATTAAGCATGGCACCACATGACCCATGTTGTCAAATGGACTGGCTATTTTCTCGACTTATGGAGTTTCATAACAGTGACCGGTGAAGCCAGGGAGACGGTAGGTAATGCAGCTGAGAAGTGGCAGCTAATTGAATCAAGCTCCTGTTGCCATCAAAGCTGTACCACCGCTTTGATGGCATTGTGTACTGCTGGGCAAAAAAACTTGTAATACGCTCAGGGCTGTGATATAGCTAATTAAGATCATAATCTTCTTTGGGTATGGATTTTGAAATGTAAGGCTGCAGTCAGAACCACCAATTAACGTGTGAGAAGAAGACGAGTAAACAATGATGAGGAAGGATCGAAGGATTGTTGGATCGAAGCGTTGGAACATCACACTGCAAACTTGCAAATGCAAGGCAAAAACAAACCAATCCATCCAACAAAAGAAAATCAAGGGAACAAAAAGAAGTGAAACTGCAGTCTGGCGGGCTTTTATCCCCTCCAATCTGTAAACAACTTCAGCTCTTCAAACATGTTAACCCAGAGAGAAAACAATCACTGAAACCAGTATGACAGTTATAGTGGTTTATAGTTATCTTAACAGTGGATTCAGCCATTGCATATTGGGTGGTAGCTGCAGGGCCTATCTGCCTGAGCTGGCAGAGTGGCCAAATAAATCCAGCACTTGATGTGAAGGCAGTCAACCGAGGACAATAGTGTAGCAAGGACAGAAATAGACTAGACAGTAGCACTCCCCTAAACAAATTGAGAGGCCATGGATCTAAATTCAGTTCCTAAAAGTGAGACAAGAATTCACTGCAGCAAAGCAGAAAAGGATAAAAAAATGCTTATGAGTGGTTTTCAACATAATTAGCTTCTGCATTAGCTATTGGGAAGGAGATTACTGCTCAATTTGAAATTAGGTTGAGAGCAGTGCACTGTAAAGAATGCGTCGTCTAGTAGGGTCTGATTGCTTTCGGTTATTGTTTTGGCTAAGATATAAGTATGAACCACTTCTCTGTCCTCTCTAGACCTCCAGTTAAAGGGGTAACTTTAACTATTTTTTAACCTTGACCCTGTTTTACCATCTTTTGTGCCTAATTAATGGAGACAACGATTTTTGAAATTGGTCCAGTGGTGAGAGAGACCGGGGTGGCCACAGCAGCAAAACAGGCTGCAGTGTAATCCCTAAGGGCAATTGTGCCATGTTAATTTACATCGTCGTTTTTGGCACTGACAGGCTCAGATTGTTATTAGAGGAGTCTGATAACATTACCGGAAGGACCCCTAAAGAAATGAAACCTTTTTCTTTACCTTTTCCTGACTGTTTGTTTTCTGTGTTACAAAGTCTTGCTCAAGGAGAAGTTTCGTTTTGAAATCTTGCGAGAGGTGACGTCGCAGGAAAACAATGGTGGGAACATTAGTGAGAGCTGAAGAGAGGAGTGCCAGGAAGAGTTGGTTGTATTGAGTACAGAAAACGTAGCCTAGTGTTATCTAAAAGATTTTCAGTGTCATGGCTGAATCAGTGGAGTAAGGTTGTGACGGGTCCTAGTGTATGCCGTTGTGCACATGTCGTCTTATCGCATGAATTGAGACTTGACACTGGATGACATCAACATACACATTACCCACTGATCATCATTGCATATCTGTGTATGACAAAAACACCAAAGAAAATAAGAAATTATTAATTAAATTTAATTAAAAACTAAAATTTTAATTTTAGTAGTGTCTTATAGTTTATTTTTTAATGAGCAAATAATTTTTGTTAAAGATGCTACTGACTGTTTAACAACAAAAAAAAGGGAAGCATTTTTCAAGGGCATAGCAAATAGCACTGTTTTTAATTTAATGAGAGTTCTTTGAACGCAGGCATATTTCCAATTTGGCAGTCACTCATGAGGGCCCATTCTCCACCCAACACATTGTTGGAGGGCCTAGTCTTTCTACGGGCCCCCCATCTAACGGGCCCCAGTTCAACTGCACTATCTGCACTGTCTCTGGTCCTGTTTATACGACAACGATTTCAACCGAAAAAGGTAAACTTAAGTTGCGTTTTGGCTGATAGTTACACGACAGCGGCGTTTTGGGAGCCTGAAAACACAGCTTTTTGAAAACAGGTTCGACAATGCAATTTCCACTAGGCATGCATGAGAAAGTCGACCATCACAACAACAATGGTGGACTCCCGGGCTCTGTTTATGCTGCTCACCCCATTGAATTTATCAACACTTCTCCAGCAAAGTGTAGATTTACTTTAGCAACGCCACCTCATTGTCCGTCCAGACAAACTTTTGTGTGGTTGCCATTTTGTTTGTTTATACATCACCGCTCTGTAGAAGGAAGCACATATGCGCAGGCATGTGTTGTTCCATTACAAAGTCACACTGCCAACTACTGGCCTGGCATGTATACTACAGCGTTTTTTGGTCAAACGTTGTCTGAACGTGGAACTTTTTTCAAAACGAAAATTAGAAACAATTCCGATTCAGCGGATCATTTTCGTGTAAACATGGTCTCTATTTTCGCCCCTGGGCTGAATACTTAGCTGATTTTGACAACATGGAAAAGTCCATGAGATTTGAGAACCAGATTTCTCCTTGAGCGAGACTTGATTACAAATACTATCAAACAAACCAGTGAAAGGTACAGAAAACATTAAATTTCTCAGTAGGGTCCTCTCTGTAATCCTGTCAGACATGTCAAATAACAATTTGAGTTTGTCAGTGGCACATACAAGCACTTTCAATGGACGTAAATAGACGGCGCACAATTACCCATAGTGCTGCTGGCTGCAGCAGTCTCTCTCAATACTTGACTAATATCAAAAATAGTTGTCTCAATTACTCACTTAGACATAAAAAACATGAGAAAAAAGGGTCCAGGTTAAAAAAAGAACAACAATGTTTCCCTTTTAAATGTGATAATAGGAATATGAAATACATCTGGTACACACGTGGAAGGCCTGAGAGGTAATTGCTTCTCATTTTTTGTTTTACGGCAGCTGTGTCTCAGGAAGCAGAGCAGTGGTTTCATCCCTGGCGCCTCCAGTCTGCACGTCGAAGCATCCATGGGCAAGACATTGAACCCAAAATTGCTCCCAGCGGCTGTGTGTAAGTACGTAGTACGTGTAAGTATGATTGTTTAATGACTGAGTACCAGGTGGCACCTTGTATGGTAGCCTTGGCCGTCAGTGTGTGAATGTTACATGAAGTGTAAAAGCGATTTGAGTGGTTGGAAGACTAGAAAGGCGCTATGCAAGAGCAAGTCCATTTACCATTTGTTTACTTGTGCTCACCAAATAATTAATGATCTTGACATTTGCTTTGTTTTCCTGGGATTGCAAAATAATTATCCTACAACCACAAAAAAATGTTAAGACATTATTTGCATTTGACACACTTGCTCTGATCTCAAGAAAACAGATTTTGGTTGTTATTTTTGCCGGGCGCTTTATTTCTAATCACTAAATAATTATATCACGGCCAAGAGAACCAGCACGCTGTGGTGAGAGATCACTAAACAAGATCTATAAATGTGACCCTTTTCATTTTCCGACAAAGTTGGCAAACCTCTACATGGTCCACTCTGTGCGTCAGTCAGTCAATTAGCTAACCTGAAAAGACAGCCAGAGTTTCCCCGAAGGTGGGAAAGAAACGGAAGAAATGAAAGAGTGGAACAAAAACTTCCGCACGCACCAACTGTGGCCACATCAGTGTGGAGACTTGATGACTCATATAAAGATGTGGCGGGCAAACATGCAGAGATTCGTTTTAACCAGCATTCAGGCATTTTGTCATGCCATGTACATATTGTATGCAGCTATTATCCATGTGTTACTATAACAAAACATCCACAAAATATCCCCCCAGGAGGATCTGCTCAGTCCTCAGCACTGCTCTGGCATCTTCCACCCGCTGAGCCGAGGCTGCTAATGCACGGAGTAATCAAACACAGAGAAAGGTCTGGCTGGGCGAGGGAATTTAGGAGCACTGGGATGGCGGTCTTCCTTAGGACAGTGGACAGCAGCAACAAGAGAGGGGGGCAAAATGGACAAAAGTTTTTTGGGATCAATAGCTGTGGGCTGTAAGAGGCACCATTATATCCAGAGGTAAAGGCTGGCATTCCGTGACATTTTCAGTTGGACTGGTAAATGTCAGATGGAGCAAGTCAACCCCTCTCCCTCACTAATGACATGCCACAGAGACCTACACAGGCCCTTTGTCTCCATCCCCCCAATTTCCATTAGTCTGTGTGTTCCACTGATGCGTCTCGCTGGTCTGTGGTGCCTTCGTCAGAAACAGTAATCTTCATGGTCGCCATAGCTGTCCAGCTTTGAGAAAACAAGACTCTATAGACATGTTAGCGGCTCTGTGAGACTGTGCTGGGGCACAGCGGCACTTTTTTTGTTCACTGAGAGTTAAATTATACTCAGCTTTGGGTAAAATGCTGCAGCCGCTCATCACTGTCACTTTTACGCAGGCGTCCAATCACAGTGGAGGAGGGTCTGGACAAATGGCCTACCACAAAGACCAACCGTCACATCGCTGAACACCAACTACAGTGGAGGGGAAAATAATACTGAGCCCACACAGATTGGCGGGTCTGTCCTCTTGCCCTACATGCTTCAACCTTCCCTTCATCAAGAGCAGGTACTTTACCTTCTGCCGACATTTTTAATTGTGTCATTATTATATAGGTTATTTACAAAGCACTAAAATTAGGATCAGTGAAGTCATTTGAGAAACAACAAATAATGGCTTCAATAATGCACATCACGCTGCTGAGGCACCCTTAATCATTCCTTTACTGCCATTGTCCTAATGATGCTATATTTGCCACGATACGATTCGTTCAATTCATGGGCCTGTGATCGTTATAAGATATCAGTAAACTTATTGTCTTTTTTTTTGGCTGCTTAGCATTGTCTATCTGGCGCTGGGTTGCTAGTGCTGTTTGAATGTTTAGGAAGTAGGTGTGCTTGGACGGAAATGTTGACACAAAATGTGGCATGGGAATTTCACAATAATTATCTTCTTAATGTATGGATGTTTTCACATTGCATCAGTGACATTGTATCATTGATAACTGAATCGATATATGATCCAGACTGATGTATTGCCCCCCTCCCTCATGTGTAGCAGGTACAGTAAAGTACAGCTGCAGCTGATGTAGTCGTGTAGTTTTCATACTTGTCACCCTTGAGGCCCCTACTTTTGAAATGCCCCTGGTACTCCAGCAGCAGAGTACCAGGAGGAGGGAGGCAGACAGTAGGCTTGTCCCATGTCCCAACAGCTGGGTACCCTTGCCCCCTCTCCCCCACTGAGTAGTAGGGCAAGCTCGGTTGCCCCTAACCCCTGAGGCACCACTCAAACCCCTCTAGAGCGTCCGGTCGGTCTTAAGCACGTGTAGCACGGTCAGCATGGAGATTAGGTGTCCACTTGTAGTCATGCCCCACTCATGACGGGCACCCTCTCTCCCGCCCCGAAATGTCGGAGAAGATGGGAGAAAGGTGGGAGCACCAACGTGTAGGAAACAGTACACTTTTAGAGTTAAAGGGGGTAAAAGGGTGTGAAATTTGTCAGGGATTAGGAGAAATATGGGACAATTGTGACCACAGGAGGAAACCAGGTACAGGCAATGAGAACTAGGAGTCTCTGGGGGAGAAACAGAAGGGTTGGAGAGTACTTGCATCAAAAAAAGCATCGGAAAACGAAACTGCTAACAGTTGTTGAGACATTTATCTCAAACCCACTGGATTGGCATACTGATACTAAAGTCAAAGTCAAGGAATCACCAAAGTCATTCCTTCGGGCAACGTGGGTGTCTGAACCGAATTTCATAGTAATCCATCCAATAGTCCATGAGACATTTCACTCACAGACAGACGATGCCATTCCTCAGAGCCAAGTCACTAATGTGGATAAAAAAATGTAAGCGTCATGGTCGATATAACAAGGTATGCATATCTGGTTTGACATTTAGGATCAGCAGTGGTGCTCAGTTGGATCTAGTTTAGCATCAGCACTTCGACCTATCATTCATTTTTAACTGGTAGCCCACTGTACGTGCATTAATTCACACTTCAGCTCCGATATTCAAGCACAAAAAAGTAAATGAGAGTTCTCACTGTACACATCCACATCCACCCCTCTCCTCACGGAGACACTTTATTAGTTCATATTCCCTTGGTTTCAGCAAAAAGAGAAAAAAAAAACTTGTACAGTTGAACACTTTGGGCTTCACGGCTGTCAGAAAAATCTGAACTCACTCCATCACGTCTCCAACACACACATAGCGCGTGCCTTCGCAAAAAATCTCACACACATCCCGCGATTGTGATGCACACTGTTAACACTCCCACTGTGCCTTTTTCAGATGTAGTAACACAAATGGCTCTCTAAAAATAAGCACACACAAATACACACACACACACATGCACACAGAGGCATACTTGTCAGCGCTGTAGGTAATAGGGGATTTCCTTTCTATTCCAGACACATTTGTCAGACGAATCTCTCTCTCTGTCTTCCTCCCCTCGCCTCCCCGCCCTCGCACCACTTAGGCTGCGGTCCACTCCTTGATGCCCCCGCCACACACCCCCTCCCACACACACACATTTCCCTTTTAGCTCCATAGCTCCTCTACAGGGCTCCTCATGAATTATTTGTGGCGAGATCATAGCGATCGCTCATGGCTCATTAAGCAGCGTACGCATGGCCTAACAGCTCGACGCTGTGCCGGGGTCGTGTTCCAAGCTCAGCCGTCTGCCATTGCTGTTGAGACACGGGCAACCATTAACCCCCCCCCCCCCCCAACACACAGACACACACACATGCACAACGATAGACACACCATCATCAGAAAGATTCACCTGCATCTGGAATCGACTAGCTGAAGGTAGATGTCGCTGTGAGACACAGATATGAAATTGTAATTAAGAAGTTTGCATGATGAGATATTTGGAGATCTGAGAATGAGCCGCAGTGAGGGACAGGTGGAAACACACACACACCATGTGGACGAGTTGGCCATGTTGTTCCTCCCTCTCCTCCAAAGTCATTGACCGATGAGTCATCCAACCACCCTTACACTAATCCCTTGAGTGGGTGGTTAGAAGGATCACACACACAGACACACACACACACACACACACACACACACAGTCCTAGCCAAGTTTAACAGCATCTGTCTTCTAAGTCATGCTCGTGGGAAGGCTCAGCAGCTCAGACTGCATTCATATCTTGTCATAAGCTGATTCATAAGAAGATCACAAGTGCCATTACAGCGGCATGAAGCGGAGCTTATGCATCGTCTGTTAACAGGTGGAACCCGGCGCAACGCTGAGCACAGGGGACACATAACATAAGCAAGGCCTGAGGGTTTGTGAAGAAGTGTATGTGTGTGTGTGTGAGTAGCCTAAAGGTGGAGGCGATGCCAGCTGCAATGAGTCACACCCTGAGTCACTCCGAGGGGCCGCACATCGACTCTCAATGAGGTTTAAACCTCCTTTATCAGGAAGATTTACACTTGTCTCCTTCTTTCCCTTGTCTCTGCTCTCTGTTTCTGTCTCTCTTTTCATAACTCTCCCAAACATACCAACATGGTAATTCATAGCATTTCTAGTGATACTGCTTTTCATAGCAGCTGATTGTCTTTTCACTCAGTCGTAGTGAGGTCAGCAGCACAAAGAACAACAGGCAGGGATTCAGCGTTTTGCTCAAGGACACTTCAGCAGCCCGTCTCACAAATCTGCCATTCTGTTGCCCTTTACAGTGAATGAAAGTATCACAGCTCTGGCGGGAGCTTAACAGTGATGTCAGCGTTGTGTTATTCATCATTCACCAGTTTGTTCAGCGCCAAAGAAAACTGTTACAGCGAACATCTCTTCAACTCAGCTTCTTGGTTTCTGCGGCAGAGGAGCAAGTAAATATAGCACAGGTGTTTTCAAGAAACGTTTATATATGTGAAGACAAGGGATTTTGCCCCTTCCGGAAACACTCTGTGGCTCAATGTGGCCCGATGGGCTCCCCCTTTAACAGTGTAGCACTGATCCTACATCAGATATGTCTTTATCCTCCTTATGACGGTGAAGAGCCCTGGATGAAAGGCTGGCTGAGTCGAGATCCGAGTCCCACAGGCGAGTCAGATACACTCACATACAAACACACAGCGATCTGTGACCAGTGCCTTTGGGCGATTGCTTCAGCGAGAGCTGCTTGAATGTTGAATGGAGACCGAGGTTGACATGATGCAAGCTGAAAGCGATGGGGAGCGGCAAGCCGAGATGAGAGATGCTGCGTCAAGTCTGCTCCACCCTGTCAGTTCCTGGAGTGTGTAGTGGTTAACCACCTTCGACGTCTTGACTAAACATTATCACTGTAATTATAACACTTCATACATATCGGCTGTTAGAAGATGTGACTTATTTACTTCCACTTTCTTTTCTTTATTGCTTCATTGAAAATCATCTGGGAATAATGAGCCTTTTTTTTTATACAGAAAACATGACAGCATGTCACAGTAGGAAAAGCAAAGGTGTAGGCAGTGCTTAACTTGTAAGTCAGGAGGTGCTAGTGTTACACCAAATTCAGTGATCCATCAAAATCTTTGACCCAGCCCCTTACCCTTGACTCTAACCACTCAACAACTCACAAAACTAAGCCCTGGGTGTAGGTGTGAGCAGGGCTGCAGTCAAGACCAACTTAACTGAGTCCAAGTCAAGTCCAAGACCAGGTCCAGTCAATCCTTAGTCAAGACTAAGTCCAAAGTCTGTCGAAACTAAGTAAAGACTGAGTCCAGAGCAAATCAAGTCCTACTCAAGAAATCAAATTTAGTTATAGTGGAATTCGTAGACATTTTGTTAGCTGAGGTAGCTAGCTAGTGTCTTGCTGTTATTGATGCTACTGTTGACGGATGTGACAAGTGTTGAACTTGGAGCCATCTTTGTTTGCAACCCTGGAGAAATACCAGACAGGAGGAGACAGAGGTAAAGGTTTTTACTTTTTAGCATAATGTTGGTAGAATCAGGCAACGTTCTGCACAACTGTTTTCAGTTTTCAATAGCTGAGCTTCAGACCAAGAAAAGACTTAAAAAAAGTGGTCCCGAAACCAGACCCCGCACAGTTGTTTATTTGTGGTGGCCCGCCATGATAGCAACATCTACTGCCACATATTGATTTTACATGTTTTGAGTTGGACTGTTCATTAGAGGCGCTGTTGGAATGTATATACTGTACTCGAGCACAGACGGAGCAGCATAACGTCAGGTGCAGCGAAAGTGAAACTTAACTGTTCATTGCACTGGGTCTAAAAGTATGTTTTCACGCGCCTCTGCAGCAGCTGCTCCTCTTATCCATCGATCTGATCTGATTAGCTCTGATCGTAGCGACTGACCAGTTATCTAACACACAATCTGGAAATCCATCGGTAAAAAAAAAAATAAATAAATAAATAAAAAAAAAATAAACTTTTTTTTTTCTTCCTTTACCTCTGGAGGCACAGCCCGGAGTTTTTCGTTTTTCGACTAACGGAAGTGCAGGGGCCTCGGCGATCGCTCACGCCCTTCACTTCCGGCGTTGCCCCCAGGGAATCGCTGTGTTGTTTACAAATACTTCGGGTGGAAAACCAGCGGAGTTTAGCTATATCACAT